ATGTGTGGCTGTGGTAGCAGCTTATCTACACAAATCAGGAGTCCATGTCTTTCCACACCTGGATGACTGGTGGATCAGAGTTTGGTCCGAGGCTCAGGTATTATCCCGTGTATCCACCATCCTGTCCACATTCAATCCACCATTTATGCTCCTAGTAAATTGGGACAAATCAATTCTAAAAATGGTACAGATGATACAGTTTAACAGAGGCCAAGGCCTTGCTATCAAAATCCAGGTTAGAAACACTACAAAGCTTAGTACTGTGACTGAAGCATATCCTCTCACCATGACACGCAGCTGCCTCAGTCTCCTGAGTCACAAGGCCGTGTGTATCCATGAGGCTGAACACACCAGGCTGCATCTCAGAAAGCTGCAAACATGACTAGTGTCTGTGTATGACACAAGTTGCCATTTGGACAGGGTGGTTCGAGTGCCAGTGTCAGTTTTGTTGTCTCTGGATGGGTGGGTGGACCCTCTGAAAGCCTCAGTGGAGGTCCCCTTTATCCCCCTGCTGCCAGTCCTTACTCTAGACACAGACATGCCAGCCCTGGGATGGGAGACTTATCTGGGGTCCCCGCAGACTCAAGGTTTCTGATCATCTCAAGATCTAATAGGTCATATAAATGCCAGGTAGTTAAGAGCTGTACAGCTAGTCTGTTCTGCTTTTCTCCCACTTATAGTAGGAGAGCACTTGTTAATTCTAACAGTCAACTCTGCGGCTATGTTTTACATAGACAGGGAGGAGCACAGTCAACCCAGTTATGCCAAAAAGCAATTCAGCTCTGTGACTTTTGCATAACCAATTCAGTTAATCTCAGGGCTGCTTACCTTCTATGGAAGCAGAACATATTAGTAGATCATCTGAGCAGGACCTTCTTCAGTCACAAGTGGGCTTTATACTCTGGCATCACCAGATCCATCTTCCAACTCTGGGGGACTCCCCAGGTGGACATGTGTGCAATAAAGCCCAACAGAAAATGCCATCCATTTTGTTCCTGGGGAGGTCTCAGCCCAGGCTCATTGACAGATGCTAACCTGGAAGGACCCCCTCCTGTACACCTTCCCTCCTATTCCCCGGCTATCCAGAATGTTGTTCAAAGTTTAAAAAAAAAAAAAAAAAAAGACCACTCTCGTGTCATTCTTATAGCACTAGTAGGGCCCCAACAGTGCTGGTTCATGACATAAGAATATAAGACTGGCCATACTGGGTCAGATCAATGGTCCATCTAGCCCAGTATCCTGTCTTCTGACAGTGGACAATGCCAGGTGCTTCAGAGGGAATGAACAGAACAGGCAATCACTGAGTGATCCATCCCCTGTCATCCACTCCAAGCTCCTGGCAAACAGAGGCTAGGGACTATCAGAGCATGGTGTTCCATCCCTGGCCATCCTGCTGAATAGCCATTGATGGACCTATTCTCCATTAACCTATCTACTTCTTATTTTAACCCTGTTATATTTTTGGCCTTCACAACATCCTGTGGCAAAGTGTTCCACAGGTTGACTGTGCCTTGTGTGAAGAAGTACTTCCTTTTGTTTGTTTTAAACCTGCTGCCTATTAATTTCATTTGGTGACCCCTAGTTCTTGTGTTATGAGAGAGAATAAATAACATTTCCTTATTCACTTTCTCCTCACTAGTGAAGACTTTTGTGACAAAGTTCCTCCTCTACCTTGGTGGGTCTTGCGCTTATTGGCGGATTTGCTCGCCTCGGAGATTCATGGCAGCCCTCAGTTTGGCTGTTTTTGTAAACCCACAGTCCAGGTCAACTTCTCCTGTGTCTGACCAGGAGTTGGGAGGTTTGGGGGGAACCCGGGCCCGCCCTCTATTCCGGGTTCCAGCCCAGGGCCCTGTGGAATGCAGCTGTCTAGAGTGCCTCCTGGAACAGCTGTGCGACAGCTACAACGCCCTGGGCTACTTTCCCATGGCCTCCTCCCAACACCTTTTTTTATCCTCACCATAGGACCTTCCTCCTGCTGTCTGATAATGCTTGTACTCCTCAGTCCTCCAACAGTATGTTTTCTCACTCTCAGCTCCTAGTGCCTCTTGCTCCCAGCTCCTCACACATGCCACAAACTGAAGTGAGCTCCTTTTTAAACCCAGGTGCCCTGATTAGCCTGTCTTAATTGATTCTAGGAGCTTCTTGATTGGCTGCAGGTGTTCTAATCAACCTGTCTGTCTTAATTGTTTCCAGAAGCTTCCTGATTATTCTGGAACCTTCCCTGTTACCCTACCGAGGGAAAAGGGACCTATTTAACCTGGGGCTAACATATCTCCCGTCTATCACTCTCCTGTAGCCATCCGGCCCGACCCTATCACACTTTATAGACCTCTTATCATATCCCCACCCTTAGTCAGCTCTCTTTTCCGAGCTGAAAAGTCACTTTTTAATTCCTTCTCATACAGAAGCTGTTCCATACCCCTGATCATTTTTGACCCTACTGACCTGGTTAATCAAGCCTCTGCTGTCACTCCCACTGGATCCAGATGTGATTTCTCAGGACCATGGCCACCTGCTCCATCCCATCCAACAAACTCTACACATAATGGGCCAACCAGTGTACACTCAGAGAATCTCATCCTGTATCTCTTCATGCATTCATTTATGCTACCGATAGGCTAATATAACCCCAACAGATAGAGTATTGACACGTACTAGAGCGCAGGCAACTTCAGCAGCTTTCTTGGAGCAAGGGTTGATCATGGACATTTGTAAAGCATCAACTTGGTCATCAGTGCACACTTTTGCTTCTCATTATGCCATTTCCCGTCAGTTCAAGGACAATGCCAGTTTCGGACGGGTTGTCCTAATATTGCTGTTCAGGTAGACTCTGACCCTCACCTCCATGTTTATCTGCCTGTTTGTCACCTATATGGGAATGGACACATACAAGCATTCAAAGAAGAAAAAACTGTTACCTACCTTTCTGTAACTGGTTTTGGTTTTTTTGAGATGTTACACATGTCCATTCCACGACCCTCCATCCTCTCGCTATTGGAGTTTATCCAGTATGAAGGAACTGAGGGGGTCGGGGCAGCTCTGTCCTCTCATACCAGCACACAGTGGTGTATGGCAACAGAGCTGCCTCAACTGGTGCCACCGAGGGAAAAAGTTCTCCAACAACTGTGCACGAGATGCGCGCACACACACCCACCTGTAGAATCTGCAATCAGTTCTGTGTAGGAGGACTCAGCTCAGGGAATTGCCCAGCACTCTGGTGCACACACCCTCTGAAGTGTAAACCCAAAATGATATTGTCTTGTGCTGTGTAGAGATCTGTTACAGCGTAAGCTCATGAAATTCGCTCCCTTCCTCAATGTGTAGGAAGATATGCACAGCTTTTTGCCCCCCACCCAGTTATGAATTGCACAAACTGGATTTTAGAACAAAAACCAAGTTTATTAAGTATAAAAGATAAATTGTAAGTGATTATAAGGGATAGCAAACAGAACAAAGCACATTACTGAGCAAATAAAACAAAACATGCAAATTAAGCTTGATACACTAAAGAATACTGACTACAAATAATAAATTCTCACCCTAAATGTTGTTTTAAGCAGGTTGCAGAATTTCTTTGTGGACAGACAGCTCTTGTTTGCAGCTTAAAACTCCAGGTATATCCTTCACGAGCCAGATGCCATTCCCAGCCTGGGCTCAGCCCCTCTCCCCCCCCCCCCCCCCAAAAAAAAAGTTTAGTTCCTTTGTTTCTTCAGGTGTTTTCAGCAGTCTTCCTTCTCGGGTGGGGAGGAAGTGGAGAAGAACCAAGATTAACTCACTCTCCAGCCTTAAATAAGATTTACATATGGTGGGATTCCTTTGTTTCCTAGCTTGACCCCCACCCCATTTCAGTGGCAAAATATCAGAAGTCCAAAATGATGTCCAGTACCAGGTGACATGATCACCTGACCCTGCAGTGTCAAAGCAGCAGCCCAGGAAACTTCTCAGGCCCATCCAGGCTGTTTGCATACTGTCTGGTGGACGTTCTCCAGGTGAAAACACAGTTGTAATTATTACATAGTCAATATTTCTAGCTTCAGATACAGAAATGATACATGCATATAAATTAGATAATCACAGTCAGTAAATCATAACCTTTCCAGTGATACCTCACATGACCCACCTTGCATAAAACATATCTTAGTTACGCCATATTCATATCATAACAATATTTCTGTGAAGAATATGGGGCGTAATGTCACAGTAGATAACCGTTTATTTACAAGGTATTATTCTCCACTTTCTTTTAAGGTATTGTAGTGTTTGTGAGAGTTAAATAGCTGCCATATTCCATCCTAGAAGTGGGATGGGGAGGAGTGAAGAAATTCCTTTTCTTTATATAGTAGTAAAACATTTGGGGAACCTTTGAAAGGAAGGTTGCAATAAAGTGTGTCTTTTTAATTGAACAGCAAGCTCTTTAAAAGGCATCTCTAAATAAAATATTCATCTAGTTTTGAGTTCTGGTATTGTAGAGTAAATGTTCTTTTGATAAGAAAAACTACTTCAAGAAATTTCTTTGTGACAAGACTTCTTGATTCTGCATTGCATAGTCTCTCCCTTTTCTAAAAGCATATTCTCTAGAATTTCAAAGGTGGGATCTTGCAGAAGTGCCTTCGGAGCACAAGTCTGATTGAAAACTAATGAGACTTGTGCCCCTGAGCCGTTTAAGTGCTTTTGAAAATCCCACTTCAAAGGTTTGTCTACCAAGGATGGTGCTGTAATGAGGGTAGAATGTACAACCATTAAACTGAAAGAGTTTAATTTGTTTACTCCTGTTAATAAAGCCACTGTTGAATTTAAACTATTTGTATTGTTGCAGCTAATTTAGTTAACATGACAGATTTGTTCTGCCTCATCAGTGCAGTGCTCAGAGGTCTGATTAGTGATTAATCATACCCCGCTCCATTTTTTTGCTAACATTAATAAACATTTCCCATGACTCTACATATAGAATCAACTTAGCTGTTAACTTGTTTTCATCCACGTCTTGCTTTTTCTTACAGAGAGGCCATAAAACGGGTGGCGAAAGCAATGAATCGAATGGACCGGAAGAAGCATGAGAAGTTTGCAAACCAGTTTAACTATGCATTGAATTAAGTTGCAAGAAAACAGAGAACCAAAGAGGAGAATTAACAGGACTGCAGCTATACAAATCATTTCTCAAAAGCCTTTATATTCAAACTAAAATATTGTGCTCTACATTTTTACTGGGGCTATTTTTTTAATTAGTGTCAACTTCTTCTAGTAACTTATTAATATTTGATGATGAACATGAATTTTAGCAAAGACGTGGCTGTACATAATTGAATGCATTTAACAATTTGATTACTTGGAATTTACATTAAATGGAACAAGCTTGATGGCTTGTACTTATTCTAATTAAAATGCTTAGATATTTTCCTTTCCTAGTGGACGGATACAATTTTTACACTTTGGTGTCAACAGAAGAGGCTGTTTAAAGTTTGCCTTCAGCAAGGATTTCTCCTAAGCTCTTGAGCCTGGTCTGAACTCAAAAAGTTTACCATTTAAGCACCATCCTGCCTCTAGAATGCCTGTAAAAATGCCATCCCCACATACAAAAGGATTCCTAACAGTTGACATGCATTCAGAAACCAATGGGATGAGACTTACTTTCAACAGGTCTAAGAATCGCTTCAGTCTGAATAGTTTTAGTACCAATGTGAAGTTGCTGAAATAACTTAGTCCTCCTGTTATCATCCCACAGTGCATCTGTGGCCTTTTCAGATCTTCCAGACCCACTGCTTCTGGGAGTTGTGCCATGAACTGTGGGATAGGTATCCATAATGCATTGCAGTTGAAATGGTTTAGAAGAGCACTACTGTGGAGCAAAAGTGTGAGGGTTTTTAAAGTGATTCTGCAGAGCTAGTTTGAAAGCAGTGAATTGCTTGTGCTTAAACAAAGTCTGTTCAACCACTTCATTTCTGTAGGATAGAAATGGAGTTCACATGTCTGATGGGCACTTTACTTGCTATGGCTGCATCTCAAGCAGGGTGAATGGAGCATTGAACACAAGGCTTCAAGGTCGGGGGATGAAGTGCTGAGCAAGTCAGGAAGGAGGGAGGGATGTGACATTTAAAGTTGTATTTTCATGGGTACTACATACGAGTTTTTGATAAAATACTGAATCAGAATTTTCTCCTGCTCTGAATGGTGTTGGCTTAGTCTGCTCTTGCCTGTTTCAGGTGCTCTTCGAAGTATTAAAGGAATTAAAAATCTTCAGTCTAGCTACTGACCAGATCTGACAATAGCTAATTTACAACTTTGGCAAATACATATCTTGACATGTGCAAGCACCATTTGGAAAGCAATTAATACTGAATCTTGATCGTTTATCTTGAAGTGGTTTGCAGCTTGGGAGACGTTTCCTTTTTCTCTGTGGTACAAGTATTTAGAAGCTAACTAAATCACAACTAAAGTTCCAGATATTTCATTGGGATTTTGGAATCTCTAAGGCCTTGACTACACTAGGAAATAATTTTGTCAGTTAGCCCAGCTGACTTGACAATGAATGCAGTTTAACTGTAAGCATAGACAAGAACAAATTATGATCAACACTGGAGTAGTTGAATCAACCACTTAAATGTTTCATCTGCTGGCATAGGCAAAGTCCTGTGTTTGAATGCTATCCAGGTGATTAGAAGCTGAGTGATTGTCATACAGCAGGAAAGAATTGTCGAGGGCACTGGCTTAGGGTATGGGAAATAAGGGTTCATGTCCCTGCTCTGCCACGGCCCTCCTTCATGACGTTGGGAAAGTCATTGTCTCAGTTCACCATCTGTCAAATAGGGATGTAATGCTTCCCTGTCTCATAGGGGGCGTTTTGAGGATCAAAGATTGTGAAATGCATGGAGAACTCCTGTTCCTTTTGGGAGTCCTTAAAGGAAGAACACACGGAAACTACTGAAGCAAGCATCACCATCATAGCTGCCCCCAGCTATCCTCAATGGGTGTCCTGACTAGACCGGGCCAGATCGAGGGGCCTGGATGACATCACGCGTCTACCAGCTCTAGCTGAATCCCAAGCACCAACTGGGCTGAAAGGGGATTGGACTTTAACAACAACAGCTGCCGCCCATCTCAGCTAACTTATCTTTCCCTCCTCACGGAAGCTCATGCTCAAATAAATGGGTTAGTCTCTAAGGTGCCACACGTCCTCCTGTTCTTTTTGCGAATACAGACTAACACGGCTGCTACTCTGAAACCTGTCATCTAAGAGACTGTCAAACAAGGGGGGCTTCCTTCTAAAAACTTTCCACATAAAGGGAAAGGGAACAATGTTAAAATGAAAGCCTTATTTAAAACTTAACATTTCAAATTCTGTAACTGTTTTCCCTTGTCTTTATTTTTTATTAAACATGTAAAGGATTTTTAATGTTGCATTTGCCATGGTAGTCAGGCTGAGGTCTCTGTATAACCAACCCAGGAGATTGTTTAACTCTGTTTAATATTGGACAGTGTTTGGGTTATGTTAACACCTTTAGTCCATTTATCTCATCTAAATTAGTGCAACAGAATTTTTAGGAAGGGGATAGAAAATAAGACAGAACATACCATAATGTAAATCCATGGTTTGCCCATACCATAAATACTGTGTCTAGTTCTGGTTGCCACATCTCAAAAAGGATACACTGGAACTGGAAAAGGTTCAGAGAAGGGCAACAAAAATGGTAAAGGGAATGGAACAGCTTCCCTACGAGGAGAGACTAAAAAGATTAGGACTGTTTAGTTTACAAAAAAGATGACTAAGGGAGGATATGATAGCCATCTATAAAATCACAAATGTTGAGGAAAAAGTGAATAGAGAAGTGTTATTTACCCTTTCCTACAATACAGAAAAAAGGGTCATCTGATAAAATTAATAGGCAGATGATTTAATACAAACAAGAGGAAGTACTTTTTCACACAGCATACCGTTAACCTGTGGAACTCCTTTCCATGGGAAACTGATTGCCAAAAGTATAATGGTTCAAAACAGAACTACATCAGTTTATGGAGGATAGATCCATCAATGGCTATTAACCAAGATGGTCAGGGATGCAACTCTGTGCTTGGGGCAACTCTAAACCTCTGACTGCCATAAGCCAGGAGGAAAAGATGATTGGATCACTCCAACTGCCCTGTTCTGTCCACCTCCCCTAAAGTGCTGCTACTGGCGACTGTTGGAGACAGGATACTGGGCTAGATGGACCATTGGTCTGACCCAGTATGGCAGTTCCTATGTTCACTGCCACCTCCATTTTGAAGTTGGATATCACCACTTCCAAGTGGGACCTATTTTGATGTTTTGCCTTGGAAGCTTGAGCAACCTGAGGGGTTTCAGAAAGCTCTGTAAAAATACACTCCACTATAAAATACCTTTGCACCAGCTCAGACATCTCTGAACATTGCCATGCATCTTCCCCTCATTCACAGTATTCTACCTGTGTATTTAGGAACACATTTCTTCCCTCCCAGGTCAATCCATCATCCCGTAACCTCAGAATATTTTACTATGAAGAGAATTCATGGAGCCAGCACATAGACACTAGATTTCATAGAATATTAGGGTTGGAAGAGACCTCGGGAAGTCATCTAGTCCAAACCCCTGCTCAAATCAGGACCAACACCCACTAAATCATCCCAGCCAGGGCTTTGTCAAGCCAGGCCTTAAAAACTTCTAAGGTAGGAGATTTCACCACTTCCCTAGGTAACCCATTCCAGTGCTTCACCACACTGTGGTGGTGAAGATCAGTTGCATCTGTAACCATCCCCTCTGACTTTATCTGTCAGTTTTATATCAGCACCTATCACTGGAGTATCAGACTGCCGCCCACTAATTAGCTTGGCCAAGCCAGGGCCCAAGTAGATTTCATGGAGCCTTCTGTTCATCTCCCTTTCCTGGATTTGGGGGCTGTTTTAGGAATAGGTTTTGAAGGAGGGATTCTATCAGCTAGAGTTTTCTCTCTAGCTGTTGCCTATGTATTCTCCTCACTCTTGCGTCAGTAGAAGACGGTTTGGGGAGCAAACAGAAAGAATCTTCTGGGAGCAACCAACCTACTCCTCAGACCTGTCAGTTCTCTCTCCTTTCAGCTATCAGCTCCCTTTCCCTGACTGTCAATGATTTGCCACCCAGATTTCACCCTTCAATCAAATACTTCCTGTTGCTGAATATTCTCTCCTTCCCCCCCCCCCCCCCCAAGTTTGGTTTCCCTCCTAGTTACTGAAAAATACCAGCATTAATCGCTATGTATTGGTACCACCTTTTCTAGCCAAACTTTCCTGGGTGTTTTATATGCCCGTTGTTTCTTAAAGGGAATGCACTCAAGGAATCTCTGTGCTGTATACATCTCTCTAACCTAGCCAGCCTCTTTTTCTGTGAGCTATCTTACAACTTTTCTTATTTCTACCTGTCCCTTATAATCTAAGCAGTATCTACAGTCTTACCTGTATATCCCTCCCTAGCCCCAATCAAATTTGCAAATCAGTAGAAACTAATAATTGACCAAGAGGCTTAATTTATTTCCCCAATCATCTCTGCAATTCCTCTCCAGCCCCACTTCTAGAAGAAAATGTTTTAAGAAGCTTAAAGGAGGGGTACAGAATGGACCTAGGGGTTACTCTGGAAATGTGGACATATTTACGCAGGGCCCTGACCCTGCAAACACTTATGTCTGTGAGCAACCACCTTAAGCTCAGTGTAGTTCTTCACATGTGTGGGTGTTTACAATACCGGGGCCATAGTGAGCCAGTCATTCGCAATGTAACTCCGCTCATGGCAGTGGTATTATGTTAGGAGTGATTTGGCTCATTGGGTTTATAGCTAAAAATTGGTATGTACTGCCAAATATCCCTGTTCGTGCATCTTCCTTGCTAGATGAAAAGAAATGGTTGGTTGGTTAGTTCCTCCACTATCAGTAGCTAAAACATTCAAGCTGATCAATTTAGAAGGGAGCTGTGGGCTCCATTTGAGGATTCCCCTGGCTTTTTTTTTTAAAGCCCTTGACTATGCTTTGGACATTTCAGAGTTAACAGTAAAGAAGGAAATAAACCCCAGTAACTGAGGGCCAGCCTATCACATACCCAAATAATCTAACAAAAACCAAACAGCGCAGTAGGGAGCTGTCTGATAGTTTCCATAACTGGATATTTACAATTGCAAGTAACTGGAAGCATAAGTTATGCATGTGCACTTGAATGTGTAACTATGATCGCTTGGATCATACCAAAACAGGAGAGTAGCTGTAATAAAGGTTGAGCGTTTTGCCCTCCTGGAAGGATGTGGTGGCTACTGAGCAGGGAACAGCTATGCCTAACCAGCTGTGCTGTTTTAAATGCAATGTAAGGAGGATTGATGCCAGCTGTAGCTTCTCTCTGATGATTCTCACCTGAACATGCACCTTGCTGCTGGGGAGTGACTTGTAGAATGTGAAGACAGCAGCCATGAGTTTTCTGCTGCTGCCTGGGGTCTGAAGGAAGGGCTTGGCAGAGGGTAAGGTTAGAAAACTGATCATTTTCACTGTTAACTTTTGTGGGTTTGAAATAGAGCAAAAGAAAGGAAAATGCGTGGCACTCATCCCCACTGTGCCAGAGCAGTCTTTGGGGTGAGTGTTTGCTGGGGCTGTGCAATGTAGTCCACTTGTGATCTACTCTAGGTGTTGCAAACATGAAAGGTCAAGGTGTGGGGTTAGCTTTTTACTAAGCAAATATATTCCTGTACTTTTTTTCCCCCACTAGTTTGCTCTTGGAAAAGAGGCGCATGATTGCTTTCCAGGGTCCCTATTTCTAACCTTTGGAAACTCAGGATCAGAGGATGATGACCATGCAGTTTAAGGTGTCGGCTTAACTTCAAAATAGACTGACACAAGCTGCTAGGAGGGAGGCTGAGTCCCCAACACTGGGTTTGCACAGAAAGCAGCATTTTGTGTTTGCTCAAAGGCAGAGAGAAAGGGGGGAGGAATGGTAATGGTTGAGAGCTACTGCAAACCACGCAGGCAAGAATGCTATAAACAGGGTGAACGTGGTATCTGTGAGATATCTGACTGAAAGCTATCCTTCAGGCTGGGCACTTTTTAAAACTACTGACCCAAGATGTCAAGGGCCATATTCATCCCAGCCTGTAACCTCAGAGATTTCAGTGTTCTTACAACTGCAGCTAGTCGTGGCCTTAGGAATCTGGTCCTAGCTGTAGTTTTCAGTTAGGAAGCTGTAACCCCATAAGTTTCTTAGCTGTGATCTCTAGAAGTAAATTTTCTTTTCCCCTGGAACCCACTTCGGGGCCCCCATCCTGCACGGGGCTCTGTAAGAACATGGGATCATGCTACATGGAGAAGTTTGGCATATCAGGTCACTAGTGGATTACCATAAATAGCCTCCAAGAAGGAAAGCTTTTCTTATTAGGGGAAAAAATATATTTCCCATTGACTAGAATGCTAAGAGGCTGATAAGCATGCTATTGACCAGGCCCTGATGCGCGGCATTATTGTCAAATCAGCCCCATAACAGAAAGAAGTGCTGAATCTCAGGAATCCATCCTGAAACTAGTTGAGTAGCAGACAGCATAATTTAGGGGGCTGCTCCCAGCTGGGATTGACGGTGTAGCCAGGAATTTCATTCTTATGATTGTACCTTTTAATTTCCATTTAATTAGCTTTCTCATTTTTGTCTAGTTCCCCTTTCTGAAGTTAAATGCTACTGTGGCTGGTTTCTTTCATATTTATACACAGACCCCGCAAGGATGTTAAATTTAATTATATTATGGTTGGTTTTAATTATATATATTTTTTCTGTTTCTGGGGTTGTCCATCACCCACGCAACAGACTATGGGGCTGGCCCCAAATCTTTCAGACCCTCTGGGATCCAAAGGAGATTACGGGTTTCAGAGATTAGTGTCACGCTGTCTGGAGTAGTTTACAAGTGTGACTGCCAAGCTTAGGGCAGACTATCCAGGAACAGGGCACAAACCAAGTAACAAGCATGAACTCCTAAAGCACTGTAACAGCATTAACACAGAGACACAGACAGTCCCCTTGGTCACTCCAGTCTATTTTGCCACCCAGGCAAACTTGTCTTTGTGATAGATGGTACCTTACACCAAAAATCACAACAATATTCAGGTAACTCTGTCTCAAAGGACCAGTCACCTACCCCAGATCAATTGTATCCCAGATCTCTCACCAAAGACAATGAATGTAGCCAATCCTGTAATAAACTAAAGATTTATTAACTAAGAAAAGAAATGAGTTATTTACAAGGTTAAAATTTGTAACATATGCACACAAATGAGTTACAGTCTTAGATTGCAAAAGATCATGGAAACTTCTCTAATAAGCAAATGCTAAATGTCCTTTAGGCTAACCCAGGCAAAACAGCTCATTCTTATTGGTTCTTGCCCCATTCTAGTCCAA